GCTACCATTCCTTATGATTTTTGCAAGTGACAACTTTTTTGCACGTCTATGTCTTCACTTGTGAAAGGTAAGGTGGGTTGTAGAGCATAGACGATCAATTTTTCCTGAAAAATACCGAGATATAGGTTGGGTGGCCTTCCACTCTCTATTGAAGCTTAGCAAGCAGTAGTCTTTAGAGTCACCATTGGAGTCTTTTTAGTCTTCATATGGAATATCAGGCTCCTGACCGGAGTGATCAGTCTTCGACCTTAGTTCCGCTCCACCTGGGCTGAGATTCACCTCAACTTGGGTTGATATCATCAATAGACCTTCTTCTATTTTCTCTTTCGAATCCTTTCTGTCTACCATCCTGTCTTCATTGAATTTCACATCCCTATTTATGATACACTTATTAAGGTTGTTGGATCATATTATGTATCCCTTCACCTCGTTTGGATATCTAAGAAATATACCATCATTTGTAACACCCTAAATATCCCCTGCTAATTTAAATAAAATTATCAAAGTAAATTAAAAATCACGACATTTAAGATGATACAATTCAACAAACATCTGCTCATGCAACCAGATATGTAACACATACAACTGTAAAAAATTAATAATAATAATAACATTAATCATGTCTAAACTTCAATTTTATTAAGCAGCGAAAATATTAACAACTCACAATTTAATTAATCAAAACACAATCATGATTTAAGGTAATAAAAAAAAACAACTTAGGGGATATCCATAAATCTCCAATAAGAGTTTCCTCTTCCCAGTGTTACACATCAGAGCAGACGCCGACTTTATAAAAATAAAAGGAATAACACCATTTTCCACTCACATCCACGCTTCTACTGCAATTTATCTTCCTGATGCCCATGTAAAGGCAACATTCAAACAGAAGAGGTGAGATATCATAATTATATAAGGAAATGCATAATAACAAGTAAGCATCGAATTATTCATGCACAATCACCCATTCCACCAATCATACTTCCATACAACCAACCACACCAACACAACATATATGCAATATAATGAGACTCAACAACTTGACTCAATGCATATGATACCAATACGTGAACTCTCAGGTTCACCACTCCGATCCCCACCTAGGATCAGAGCCCACCAAAAATCATCACCATAGGCAACGCTTCACTAATTCCATCACCATAGGAATTAGCTACTTGCATCCAATCCACACAATGGAATTGAGTCTCACCAAAAATTTGTTACCACCATCATAGATAACGCTTCACTAATTCCATCATCATAGGAATTAACTACTCACACCAATCCATCATCATAGGATTGAGGTTCACTGACCACCGTCTCACACTATGATGCATGACATATGTAAAAGACATGCAACAACAACAACAAATACAATGACATCACCTTAGTCAAGGTACTACACCAATGTTGGCAACCATGCACCAGACATATGCTATAACATTTAACAACAACATAGCAAGCAACAACAATGCATTTACGAATATGTCACACCACAACATAACACTACAATGCATTTAACACCATTACACACTAATTTATTCATTTCAGGTACTGAAACCAATGTTAGAACAAATTTCATTGTATTAGCTTCTTAACGCTTCGAACGACACTCGAATCGGACACCCGAAACTCAAGATATAATTTTTCGAAGTTTTTCAAAAATTGTTCCCAGTGTAACCAGTTACACCAAATCACGTAATTGATTACACCCCTGTAACCAGCCTTTGCTACACAATTCTCACTCAGTGTAATCGTTTACCCAAAATGAGGTAACCAATTATACTCTATCTTAAAAATTCTTAATTAACTCATCCAAACACACTCTTAGAGTTCTTGCAAAGTTATTCAATAATGAATTCCTTCTCTTTCTTCTAGAGCCCTAACTTCCACTCTTCTCTTTTTTCTCCCTTTTCTTCCAATTTCACGATCGGACAATTTCTATCTCTCTCCCTTATTTCTTTATTTTAATATATTATTATAACATAATCCAACTAATTAAATAATAATAATAATTTTCATCAAATATTTAAATTAAATAATATTCATCTAATATTATTTAATTAAATAAATAGTAACTAATATTACTTAATTAACTCTACTTACAACACCCCAAATCTCTACAGTTTTTCTCACACACCCCTAACACCTTAAATTATATTCTTAAGGCCATTATCCCACACCAAAGGGTATCCCTAAAGCACCAAAACATCAATCAACACATACAATTACACAACATCACATAATTAAATTACGGAAAATAAATTAATTAAATTAGGGCGTTACATCCTTAGCATGAAGTTCCAATTTACCTTAGTTAACATGGTAGTAACTCGAAATCTTGAACATATGAAGATTGTTGTAGTTTGTCGGCTTCTCATTCCACCTCTCGTGAGGTGTCTTGCATTCGATCGTTGCAGACGAGTTTCTTTTAACGAGGTAGCATGAATTGTGCAATGCAATAACCCAAAACTTGTTAGAAAGATTGGCGTTTGTGAGCATACACCTTACCATCTTCAATAAAGCCTGGTTTATCCGTTTATGCCAGTTCATTCTGTTGTGGTGTTCCCCTAACCATCTTGTTTCTTCCAATGTCATGCTTTATATAATACTCATCAAACTCAGCATTGCAGAACTCCAACCAGTTATCCATCCTTAACATCTTCACTGTTCTCCACCAATGATTTTCAACCCAGACCTTTCATTCGACAAACGCCTTGAATTTCTCATATTCTTCAACAAACATACCAATAATTTCCAACTCTAATTATCAATTAGGAACATAAAGTGATTATTTCCACCATGAGATAGAACCCGAGACAGCCCCCACAAATTTGGCTGTATGTTATCAAACTTGTTCTTAGTTTTGTGCACGCTCGTAGCAAACTTGACTCATGTTTGTTTCCCAAGCACGCAATGCTTGCAGAAATCCAAATCTTCAATCTTGTCCTAACTAAGCAGACCTTGCTTCCATAACTCCTCAGACCATGTTCAATAATATGACCAAAGCGATAATGCCACAAACTTCCCGATCCTTGCTCGCCACTTGTCATCGTGTTCACTTCCCTGATTACAGTGCTCCCCTTCAAAACATACAAGTAGTTATCACTCGCCCCCTTTCATCACTACCATTGATCCCTTCATTATCTTTAAGATTGAGCTTTCTACCTTGAAAGAATACCTTTCTCCATCAAGCTCCCGTAGTGAGATAAGGCTTCGCTTTTGTTATGGTACATGTCTCACATTTGCCAAGGTCTTGATGGTCTCGTCACTCAATTGGATATTGACTAAACCAATTCCGACTACACTACATATAGCATAAAAGTATCATAAGAGCGGGTAAGAGACCAGATTAACAACAATGTTTGATTCTCATCATCCAATTTAATTTCTATATTCTCCAAGTCAAGAATAAGCCTATTAAATTCACCAGGGTGTTCTTCTATCAATGTCCCTAGCTGCATCTTCAACGTATAAAGACGTCACTTTAAATATAATTGGTTTGCTAGAGTCTTGGTCATATACAAGCTTTTGAGCTTCAACCACAATCCAACAACTGTTTTCTCCTTCAAAACTTCACGTAACACTTTATCCCCTAAACTCAGAACGATTGCACTATGAACCCAACTTAAGATTCCCCGTTTATCCTTCTCACTGAGCGAGGTTGGAAGCTTTGTTTCTCCTTCCAGTGCATTCTCTAGTTCTTGATGCACGAGAAACAACCACATCATTGCATGGCACAATGCAAAATCATCTTTGCCATTAAACTTCTCCACATTGAACTTCGCCATAATTAACTCTGATTCAATTTGCGCCTACTCTCGATTGAACTGCCTATGCGAATGCTAGCATGATCACACCTCCTAATCAATCACCTTTTATTCTTCGATTAAACTTCTCTCCCTAGATCGGGACCAATCGAAGCTTTGATGCCAATTGTTATGTCTTATTTGCATAATAGGAACAAATACCAAAGCAATCGAAGTAAAAAATTTCCAGTCACACAATCATAAATAACAAAATATAATGCAAGAAAAATCAATAACAATAAAGAACACAACAAATACTTTGGTAACTCAATTCGGAGAGAAAACTCCTACTTTGAACATTCTGCTCTAAAACAGTAATCAGAGAGAAAACTATACTTTAAATATACTCCTCTAAAATCAAGGTGATCCAAAGTGCAATTACTGAAGAATATAAATGTACAACAATAAAAATCACCTCCCCCTCACACCACCCTTTCACTGGTGTTTATCTCAAAACAAACCTACACTCACTTGATCTCTTTATACTAATTGATAGTTTCAATACTCACAACCAAAGAAAAAAAACATAGTGATCAATTAGAATTTGATACAAGATAATATGAAATCTGCATCAGCAGTGAGTCACACCTACGATAGCCAATTACAAGACACGGTGCTAATCCAATTCAACACAAACAAATCCTTATACACACATCTTACATTAAAAAAACTATAATAGGTATATTTATATCATAAATATTACGACCCTTCCATTCAAATTCATAATTCCACGTAAAATATCTTCAAAATCAAGTTACTAAATTTATTTTAAAGGTGAATAGATTAAGATTAATCTCATATTGTAAAAATTTATCTCGCAAAACATGGGTGTGTATACACATATATGTTCTGGTTTTAGTTCGCTTTTTCTTTTCTCCCGCTAAAACTAATTGTCTCAAACACGCGCCGCACGTGTCACTTCCCGCCTCCACACGCTCTCCCGGCACGTGATTTTGCCGCAAAAACCACACCACCCTTCATCCCTCTGTTTCCCCGATTCTCATATCCATCGCAAAATCCAAATGCTCTCACCGATCCGAATACTCCGACCCGAACCAGATTAATCACTGCCTTCGTTTTTGATACTTTTGTCACACATTGTGATCCGATATATATGACCGGCGACGGTTCTGTTGTTAGTCGGAGACCCGGTTTTCGAATCTCTTCGTTTGATCCAAACGAAATTGAGGTATGGAATCAATCCTGGCAAGAGCTTTGGAGTATACTCTCAAATACTGGCTCAAATCTTTCACCCGAGACCAATTCAAGTTGCAGGGTCACACCGTTCAACTATCTAATTTAGGTCATTTTCTTCTTCCAATTTTAAAAATTAATGTTAATGATTACGATGATTGGTTGATTTTTTAATTTTTGAATTTTGTGGTTAGATATAAACGGCGAGGCATTGCATTCCAGCGTTGGATTGCCGCCGGCACTCAATGTGGCTACAGCCAAAGTTGGAAAATTGGAGATCACGGTTTGTCAATTTGTTGTTTCCACTATTTGGTACATTTTGCGGGTTATTCTTAAGAATATCAACTGAAATGTGCAAGGATCCTATCCTTTTCTAAAAAAAAGTGTTATGTTATTATAATTTTGAAGTGACCAAATGAATATTAATGCACATATTTCTTAAATTTGTGACATTAATTATAGATTAATACTCCAAAACTATAGTAATGTAGATTTTAATTTCTTTTAAGAAGTGGAGAGGAAAATAGGGTAAAAAGTTGTGGTCTTTTCTGTCTAGTCTAATATAATGTACAATGTTCTAATCTAAGCATTTTGTAAAAAGTATATATTTAAGAGGACATTTTTTGTACATATTCCATCCATTCTATGTTTGTTCTATAGGGTGTTTTTGTTTTTCCAATAATAATTACAATTTATAAGTATGTTTGTTTCCGGAAATTTTTCATGAATTCTAAGAAAGTTGGAAACAAAATGGGAACAAGATGACATACTCTAGTTATTAGCAAAAGAAAATCAACCTAACTCCAATCCATTGTGATATTTTTTTGTTAGGCTTTTTACTTTTATTTTTTGATGGAGATTTTATGGTTTTTGATTGATTGAGTTCAATTTGACCTTCTAGCTACCGTCCGTGAGCAATGTACAGATAGAGCCAATCATTGTGCAAATTGATAGGCTCGATTTGGTTTTTGAAGAGAATTCTGATTTTAAACCATCTGAGACTCCAAAGACTTCAACCAGGTAGTGAAATTAGTCTCTTGCTGATTATTGTATGCGAGAGATCTCATTATAGAGAGATGCTTTTGATGCTAACTATTAAAGTTTCACCATCCTTGTTTCACTGTTCTATGCAGTTCCACACCTTCAGGGGCCTCTGCCAAGGGTAGCGGGTATGGTTTCGCTGATAAGGTTGTTTGACTATCCTTTCTAAGCCCAAATTGATATGCATTAGTAAGTGATATTCATATTCTGCTAACCATATGGCGAAAAAAATGGCGGTTGTAATAAAATTTAACAAATGAAAAGCAAAAACTCCTTATTATACATTTTTTTTTGGGTGGGAACTGAGTTATTCGTTTCATCCTGTCATGGGACTTGGTCTTTCTCTTCCTCTTTTCCTTCTGTTAAAGTTGTTTCCGGTTATTTTAAGTAACATGAAAATAAAGATAGCGGAGATTGACGAGATCCGACTTCTCCTAAGTCTAGAGATACAATCAAAACAGTCCATATAATCATTGAGCTATCGTCACCTCTGTAGCTTGATTTTGAGGTAGCATTAGACCTAGCCTAAATTAAAGATGGTATAAGAGCTTATTCTATATCCGATATTAGGCTACCTGGCTTTGTTCATGCTAGAGTTCCAATTCCAAGTTTGTATTTGTCCACATTCCACAACTCTAATCCTAGGCTCGAGGGAGTGTTGTTATTGGACCACTTGCAATTTATTCAAGCCCTAGATGTCTAGTTTTTGGCTTGAGGTGGTATGTTGGGATCCCAAACTGACTAGAGATATGACCAAAGCAATCTTTATAATTTATGGAACAACTTTAGTGAAGAATAGGATAAAGATTAGTAGTTCCTTTCTTATACCAGTCATTTCCCATATCGAACAGTTTCAGGGATGAATAGGATAAGGATTTGTAATTTTGTCCATATACTAGTCATTTTCCATCAATACACAAGTTTAGTTTTAATATTATTCATTTTTACTGACTCGGCAACCTTCAGATTGCAGATGGAATGACAATACAGATTCATACAGTTAATCTGTTGCTTGAAACTCATGGAAGTGCTTGTCTCGAAGGGGCAGCAACATGGTAAATTCGTCTTACTAGTTTTGCTGTCTCAGTTTATTCATGCACCACAATCGTTTTCAATTGTGATGGATTTGGATCTTAGGGAATTTAAAATTAATATTACAATATTAGTATCTCACTCTCTGTTGGAGTTGATGCGGTGTATAAACTTGTATTTTTTAAGCATTTGAGAAACAGTTGGTGGTTGTATGGGATAACTTTTAGCATAAATGTGGTGAATTATACTTGTATGTTTGACTCAAACCGTGTCATAAGTTTTCCCTGAAATCTATTTGTAAATATCCTTGCTCTAATTGTCTAATTGTAGGGCACCACCCATGGCATCTATAACAATACACAACCTTTCTCTGTGTACCACAAATGAAAGCTGGCAGGTAATTGTGTTGAGACTATTTTTATGATATAGTTTGATACTTCAGGAGTATAAAGTCTATTTTCCTCACCATTATTTTTCAGGTTGTAAATCTTAAGGAGGCACGGGATTTCTCATCTAATAAGAAGTGTATTTATGTCTTCAAAGTACTATACCACCTTTCATTTTATTTTCTTGTTTGTATATACAACATGCATTGTGTTGATTTGGTCTTCTTCATATACGCCTTTTCTATATTATGTTTCTCCTTTCATCAGAATGTATTCCTTCCTGTTATATATATATATTTTTAAATTGAGCATTTCTATGTTGCTTGTATTTGTATTAGCCCAAAATAATTTAAATTTTTTCTCCAGAAATTGGAATGGGAATCATTATCTATTGATCTTTTGCCTCATCCTGACATGTTCACGGATGCTACTTTAGGCAGTTCTCAGGTAGGTTCAAACCTGAGAGATGATGATGGTGCAAAGAGAGTATTCTTTGGAGGCGAGCGTTTTATAGAAGGAATATCAGGAGAAGCATACGTAATGAATTCATTTCCTTCAACTTGTTGTACACTATCATGACTCATGAAATATGACTTCATCTTTATATTTATCAGATCACCGTTCAGAGAACTGAATTGAACAGTCCACTTGGGCTCGAGGTTCAGTTGCATGTTACAGAAGTCGTTTGCCCTGCATTAAGTGAACCAGGTAAGTAAAAGGGACTTGTTAGGCTTCCAGTATCCATATTTAATTGATAGATAAGACACAAATATAACCAGAGGTTGATGAAACATATATGAACAGGGCTACGTGCGCTTCTTCGCTTTATGACAGGAATATATGTTTGTCTAAATAGGGGAAATGTAGATTCCCAGCAGGTTTCATATTGACTCTTCCTCCTTTGAGCTTATCATTTATCACTAGTTTGTTAAGGTTAAAACTATAATACCATTCTATCATTCTGAGTCTTTTTTGTTTTTTAATTAATCATGGTAGCAATCTACTGAAGCTGCTGGGCGTTCTCGTGTGTCAATTGTTGTGGATCATATATTTCTCCGCATTAAAGATTCTGGTATATCATTATTCTTAATTGATATAAGTATCCTTTAATTATATTAAATATTGTGGAAATATTTACTTTATTGCTTGCTATATTCATTACACTTTTAATGCGGATAAACAGAGGGAGACATATCTCTTAGGCTTAAATAGTCTTTTGGTTCCTGTAATTTGACGTCTTTTTGTTTGTACTTTTTGTCACCGTATATTTTTTTTCAGGATAAAATCCTTAAATGTTGAATTTCATTTGGTTTGATCCCTAAAAGTAAACCTGCGGATTTTTCTTTGGATTTTCTTGTAGATTTTAACTTTAGGGATTAAAATCAAAAAGATTTTAACATTCAGAGACGAAAATAAAAAAACACGCCAGTTTACATGGACCAAAAGACTATTTAAGCCTATCTCTTAATTAAAAGAATCAGAATCCTAAGAAATAAATATTGAAGAAAAAAGGGAAAATAAACCCCATATTTAAGAATTTGACTAATCCTTACACTACTACTAAGATTTTAACTCGCTAGTTTATTTAAATCCATAAGTTCAAACATTCCTAATTTATCCATACTACCCATCAAGTTGGTGCAGTTATAACTATCATGCCCAGCTTGGTAACAAAAGGCCTTAGTTGGCACATCCGCAATCTGTTTGATGGTTGGAACAAATGGAATGGAGCTCACTCCTTCAAACTTCTCTTTGATAAAATGTTTGTCCATCTCAACATGTTTTCTACAATCATGCAATGACTCGGCTGTGCATTATAAAAGAAATGTAGAAAGACCGGCGGTGAGAAATGTTTGTGCTTTGAGGTAGAAAACAAATGCTTACACCCATTACACCCATTTATGTTTTCTACAATCATGCAATGACTCGGCTGTGTATTATAAAAGAAATGTAGAAAGACCGGGGTTGAGAAATGTTTGTGCTTTGAGGTAGAAAACAAATGCTTACACCCATTACACCCATTTTCTATGTCATAACTCTTCTACGCCAACCCCTCTAATGCATAAGGTTTTTCGGTGACAAATGGGATGCATGCATGAATGAAAAAGTTAATGCTTGCTGCAGGTAGAAAACGGATTCTTGTGAGGCTACCAACATATAAAACAACTTGTGTCGTGTTTGGAAATAAATTTGCAATTTCACATAGTAGTATAATTTCCCTAGTGAGAAAGTATGTATTTTTCAACTCTTATAAATTTTAAAATTTGTTATACATGCCATTGCATAACTTTTGGGCATTAATTCTCACACTCTGGTAAAAAAATCAATAATATCTATAAAATTCAAAAATACATTTTCGGACGCACCTCACCACAATATTTTGCAAGTGAGCTATCTTTATTTTGTCAAAAAAATAGTCAGAAAATATATTTCTGAAATAAATCAAAAAGTATACTTCTGTAGAAGACATTTTTTAAAAATTCATGCTAATTGAATTTGTGAAGATATTACCACAATTGAACATCTTTGAATCTGAATATTATTGATGATAATGAGTAGACAAACACTAATATTTTGACTTAAAAACCCTTACTAAATACCCAAACATGAATTATTAATAATACTAAAATAACAATAATAAAATTATTTATAACACTCCCTCTTAAACTGTTGAATGTATATTATTTTCAGTTTGAAAATAATTTTTTTTAAAATTATTGTTCAGCCCTTTCGTTAGAAGGAATCATAATCCTAAGAAATAAATAACGAAGGAAAAGGGACAGCTAAACCATGATTGAGGATTTGACTAATCTTTACATTAATTCTAGAATTTTAACTTCCTAATTTATTAAGACCTATAAATTCTGACATTGCTAATTTATCCACACATATCACGTGAATAATAGTCTAATCTGTATATGTACTTTGCAAAATGATCTTACAGTTATTGGCATTATCTGGCAGGATTCCAGCTTGAGCTATTAATGCAGTCCCTCTTTTTTTCTCGGGTAATTTTCCTCATAATATTATCGCTTATTTTCTTCCTCCATGCACTCATTTTCTTTTTTCGGATGTCTCTGTTAGACCTCTTATTTAAGTGTGTATAAGATGAAGAGACTAAACTGATTATATCAGTTTTAGGAAAGTTATTGCTAGTTATGAGTCAATTACATTAGGGGATAGTGACTGCATAATGGGTTGTTACTGCTGTGAGCAGTAATTAATTATGTAATTATTTATGTCCATTCAGTTTTAGATGGTGTATAATTATAAAAGTGCGACACTGAACAGAGAGAGTTTTATCGGGAGGTTATTGAGTGGTTATTGGGAGAGACCCAACTCTTGAACATTTGGGAAGGGAGAGATCCAAGACTCTCGAATTCTTGGAAGGAACCAAACTGGTCCTGTCAGTATGTTTGTGTTTTAATTCTCTATATTGAAATTCTGTAATTTTATCGTGTAAAAAACCAGTTTCTATCAACTGGTATCAGAGCCGTTTCCTTCCGGGACTGCTTTATGGTATCTACGCGAGGGGAAATGGAGGCCAGGTTGGAAATTATAGAACGTGGATTTGAAGCGTTGTTAGCAATTAAAGAAACAATGGAGAAACAACGCGAAGAAGGTCGTGTCGAGTGAAGAGAGGTTAGACGACAAATGACGGGATTAGTCGAAACTGTTCATCGCATGAGGCACCAAAGTCAAGCAGGATCACGACACAGCGAGGACCAAACTGATGAAGAGGACGTGTCTTTGAATCATTGACATCCCCGGTCCTGCAAAGAAAGATGGCGGAAGTTGGAAATTCCATTTTTTGAAGGTACTGATGCATACGGTTGGTTGAACCATGTCGAATGTTATTTTGACTTGAAGCAAGTGGATGAAACAGAGAGACTGCAGGCAGCGATGGTAGCCATGGAGGGAAAAACACTTGCGCATGGTATCAATGTTAGGAGGTGTCTTCCCCAAAATTGACTTGGAAGGAATTCAGAACAGCCATCGTCAAACGTTTTCAACCCCCAATGATCCAAAGTCCCTTTGAATTGTTGCTGAGTCTCAAACAAACAGGAACAGTGGAAGAATGTAGAGAGCAATTTGAGCTATATGCAGGTCCCCTGAAAAGTGCCGAGCCATCTTACTTAAAAGGAATTTTTTTGAATGGACTCAAAGAAGTGATAAGGGCTGAATTAAAGCTTCGTCCAGTTGAAAGATTATCTGAATTAATGGATTATGCACAGAGGGTTGTTGATAAAAATAACTTGTTGAATAAAGGGAATGGTGGTACAAATTCTGATGGTGAACTGATCTTCAAAAACTGAGACAATAGCAGGAATGTAACATGTGATCCAGGAATATAAGTCATGTACAAACTGTTTTCACTGCGGCAAGTTCCACTGGTGAGGCAAACCAGTCACAGCTAAACTCTTTTTTCAAAGGGAGATGCTTTAGAAGGTTGACAGATGCAGAACTGCAAGATAAATCACGTAAAGGACTATGTTTCCGATGTGATGAGAAGTTTATCCCTGGACATGTATGTGCAAATAAACAATTTCAAGTCTTGCTATTGGAGGAAAATATGGAAGATGAAAACTATGGTGAGAAACCCAAAGAGGTGGCTGAATTCAAGTTTTGGGACCCTGGTGGACACTTGGGTAACCCTTCACCTTGAGGACAAGGTGAATCTTTAGGGGGGAGTATTGTTAGACCTCTTATTTAAGTGTGTATAAGATGATGGGACTAAACTGATTATATCAGTTTTAGGAAAGTTACTGTTAGCTATGAGTCAATACTTTAGGGGATAGTGACTGCATAATGGGGTGCTACTGCTGTGAGCAGTAATTAATTATGTAATTATTTATGTCCATTCAGTTTTAGGTGGCGTGTAATTATAAAAGGGCGACACTGAACAGAGAGTTTTATCGGGAAGTTATTGAGTGGTTATTGGGAGAGACCCAACTCTCGAACATTTGGGAAGGGAGAGATCCAAGACTCTCGAATTCTTGGAAGGAACCAAACTGGTCCTGTCAGTATGTTTGTGTGTTAATTCTCTTAATTGAAATTCTGTAATTTTATGGTGTAAAAAACCAGTTTCTATCAGTCTCCTTGTTGAAATTCTGGGTTTTAGATAGGAAAGGACGAAAGAGAGCAAGGAGGTTCTGAATAATTTGATATGTTACATGTTTAAAATATAAAAGCACTTGCACCTATTTTCACCAAGAATTAGGCATAGTACCATTGAAATGAATGATCTAGAAATAAGAGAAAACAAGCAGTAAAGTTGTACACAGTACATGTATGCTGTCGATGTGAATTTGTCATAGGACACAATTTTTATCTAACAAAAGTCGATTGTATTACTATTGAAATCTAAAAGCAATAAGAACAATGCTCCTAGATAAGGAAAATTTGTATGTCTCCAACATCGAAACAGAAAACAGAGAGAAATCACATAACCTTCCTTACCTCTATAGCTCAAAATTCTTATAAAGACAGATCCTTTTAGAGGCTCTCTTTTTCTCTTTTCATTAGTTTTATTCGCGTCGCAAAGATACGGACACGTACCCAGTACCTGGTACGGGTACTGGTACGGAATACGACATTTTTAAAAAAACTAAGTTACGGGCACACGAGTATAAGTCCATATGTGTTCCGATTTCTCTTAATAGAAGATGAAGAACTTGGTTGTGCAATGAGTTTCCATAAGTTATCCACCGTTCCTTTGGTTGCAATGAATCAAATTGACCAAACTCTACATCAGCACTTGAAAAGCCCATTAAAAAAAAGCCTATAACTATACCATTAGAAGATAAAAATTGAGTTTGCGTATCCAATATGTACCCACTTGAGTACCGACTTAAAAGAAAAATTTAAAAAAACTAGGTGCGGTGTCGGTACGTACCATACGAGTACCGTATGCGTATCGGTATCCGGTACATACCCGGTACCGGTACTTTTCCTAAAATGGAGTACCTGTGCTTCGCAGGTTTTATTCTATATATGTTATCCCTTCCTAAAGAGTGTTATGGTCTGTTAAAATAAACATAAAAAGGCTTTTTGGGCCCGGCTTTAATAGCAGCTAGTTTCACATCTATCAATTTTGTACAAGTTCAAGTCCTTACTTATCAGCCAAGTATCTATTAAAAGCTCCTTCTACAGCTTATTTCCTATGATTATTTATGCTATCGGGCTGTGTTTTGTGCATTTAGTCATTCGAAATACATCACACCGTTGGCAAATATATACCTTTTTGCTATCTCTTCAATGTCAAGTTCATATGTTTGTATTCCCTTTGCCATGCCATGCTATCAGGCTTCCAACAGAGGAGAGTGACTATTTGGTATATTATCCTTGCAGGCCAGTCTTTCTGAAGGAGATAATGACAGTAACTTGACCAAGATTACAATTGCGGGACTATTTTTGAGGTTTGTGTCTTTGTGCCATGCCTAGATTATTACTATTGGAAGGATGAAGAGATTTGTTAGTGCACGTGTTTATGGGTGTTGGTGTGCATGTCTATCATACTATATATCTGTGCTCATTTGACTTAGTAAGCTGGGGAGTCGACTATTATGAATGTTTGAGCAATAGGTGGGTGGTTGGTTACCTATATATCAGCCTCTACTTTTTTCCTGGGTAGTCTTTGGTGCAACTAAATATGCTTGGAAAGGAAACAGGAATAGTGTGGAGGAGCAATATGCCCTACTTGATTATTTTTGTTGTTCTTGATAGTTATATGAATGCAGTCATTTTTCTAGCTTACTGTATTAATTGTTACTATCTCTATCCCAAATTATAAGTCACTTTGCAAAAAATATTTGTCTCAAATTATAAGTCACTTTAGAATCCCAATACAACATTAATGATTTTTTTCCAAATATACCCTTTATCATTTATTTCTCTTTCTTCTTCTTATTCCTTTAGTCCGTTTTTCAATATAATTAATGAATGACAGTTTTGTAAAGTTGCAGATCATTTCAATTTTCTATAAAGTAATAATTACATTTCTTAAACTATGTGAAATGGCCAAAACGTCATATAATTTGGGACGGAGGGAGTATAATGTAACTAAATTGTAGTATGTGCTTCTTGAAATACAGGGATACATTTTCATGCCCTCCATGCACATTAGTGCAACCATCGATGCAATCTCCCACACAAGATGCTTTCCAAGTGCCTGAGTTTGGTATGCATTTAATTTTGGTCCATCGATAAGTGAACTCTTCTTGTACTATCGGTCACTCACATGTCAGAAGTGATAACTTCATATTGTTTTACAATGATTAATAGCTATCACTTGTTATCTAAGAAGTCACATTCTTTTAATGATGTGGAAATATCATTAAAAGAATTGCACGGTAGACTGTAAGTTATTTGCACATTTTCTTGAGAAGAATATGTTTAATTAACTTTTTTCAATCCTTTCTTTTGGAAGCTAGAAGCTTTTGCCCTCCAATATATCCTCTCGGAGAACAGCAGTGGCAATTGATTGTGGGAACTCCTCTAATATGCATTCACACTCTTCAGATCAAGCCTTCTCCACTTCCACCATCCCTTGCTTCTCAAACGGTTATTGATTGTCAGCCTCTTATGGTATGTGGCTACGTGCAAGTTATTTCAGTAAAATGCCTGCCAGTTTATCTATTCGAACTCTTTTGCCGGTTATTATATTGGATGACATTTATTTATTTTCTAGGTCCACCTCCACGAAGAATCCTGCTTGAGGATATCATCCTTCTTAGCTGATGGAATTGTTGTCAATCGTGGTGACATTTTACCAGATTCCTCTGTGAACTCTTTTATTTTCTCTCTCAAGGGATTGGATACTACAGTTCCTTTGGATAAAGCCCAATTAGATTTTTGTCTAAGCAATACAGATGATACAGATAAATTCTTATTTGTTGGAGCAAGGCTACATATTGAAAACCTTTTCGTTTTAGATTCACCCTTAATGAACCTAAGAATTCTGAACCTGGAGGAGGATCCGGCTTGCTTCTGTCTCTGGGAAGATCAACCAATTGATGCTAGCCAGAAGAAGTGGTCTGCCAGAGCATCCCACCTTACTTTATCTTTGGAAACAAATACTGGCACACTTGGGCATCAGAATTCTCTTGGATGGACTGCTGAATTTTGGAGATGTGTTGATATGAAAGATGCTTGCATTGAAGTAGCTATGGCAACTGCTGATGGCAGCCCATTGTTAAAGGTTCCTCCTCCTGCTGGTATTATGAGGGTCGGGGTTTCCTGTGAACAGTATCTATCCAACACTTCCATTGAACAATTATTTTTTGTCCTTGATCTCTATGAATATTTTGGGAGAGTTAGTGAAAAAATGGCGACATCTTGGGAAAGGAAACAAATGAATGACGTTAGGAATAATTCTTCCAGTGGAAAGCTGATGGACAAAGTTCCTAGTGACGCTGCAGTAAGTTTAACCTTAAAAAACCTCCAACTTCGATTTCTTGAATCTTCGTCTGTGAATGTTGAGGGAATGGCTCTAGTACAGTTTATCGGAGCTGATCTGTTCATTAGTGCCACTCATAGAACCCTAGGCGGTGCTATTGTTATTTCATCCACTTTACATTGGGAGAGTGTTGAGATAGACTGTGTTGATTCTGAGGAGTATTTGCCATGTGAAAATGGCTCAGCGTTTAGTTCTGGGGAAAATGTTTCTTCAGTGAATGGTGTTGGATACCCTCAACTGAGAGCTGTTTTCTGGGTGGATAACAGTAATCATCTATTGAATGTAAATGCTCCCCCAGTCCCGTTTCTGAACTTAAGTATGAATCAAGTCATACCATTTTGTGATGTAGAAAATGAGTCCAATATTTTGAATGCCTCCATTTCTATATCTGGTGTTCGTCTTGGTGGGGGAATGAACTATGCCGAAGCCCTCCTGCATCGGTCTGGAATACTTGGGCCTGATGGCGGTCCAGGGAAGGGTCTTTCTAAAGGGTTGGAAAACTTACAAAAAGGACCATTGGCAAAACTCTTTATGACATCACCTCCAATTGTTGACAACTCAGAAAATGGTATGAGACAACTTCATTTACTGAAAGCTGGTGTATTTGCTTAATATATAAATTTTTTAACAATGTTTCCTCGTGTCTTATTTGTTGCATAAGTATAATTTCTTCCTCACCATGTTTTACACCAGAAAGTATGATAGAAAGGATAGAAACTAGTTTTCCACCCTTGAAGAAGCCAGATAATGTGGATGTAACTATAGAGTTGAGGGACTGGTTGTTTGCTCTTGAAGGTGCACAAGATATGGCCGAAAGATGGTGGTTCTCCAGCCAAGGAGACGTAGGAAGAGAACAGAAGTGTTGGCACACAACCTTCCACAGCTTACTAGTAAATGCTAAAAGTAGCCCAAAGAAGGTTTCAGGTGGCAAGGTGCATTCACATAGAATACAATATCCTCTAGAATTGGTTACGGTAAACAGATACTTCTTTCTTCAAGATTTAATGCCAGTTTGTGTGCATAAGTTACTCTTGATAATTAAGGAGTTTCTTGCTGTTTTAAAGAATAATACTTAGGCTGATTGGATGACACTAGGAAATAAGGAGAAACACCATATCAAAGTTTTTTAAAACTATTTTGGCAGCCATTAGTTAGTATTTCCCATAGAAATTTGCATCTGTCATTCATGGTATGAGTGGTCTATTGTATATTGGGAGAACTAGCAATCTAATTTGCTAACTCCAATCTACGACCTTTATCATTCAAATGCTGCTAAAACTTATCAAACCAAAATGGAATAGTAGATGATTGGATCGTCTACTATGGATCATTGAATGTGCTACACAATTTTCGTTTGACTGACTAGGAACAACTGATATGCTGAAACATAAATAACATATTGTAAAAACCAACACATATCTTTAAATATATATAGGGTTTGTCAGTTTTCATGCTTAAAGTTGATATTTTTTTCAATATAGCTTTGTTGTTTTTGCTCCTGGTTAGAACTTTAATATTTTGTTCACTAATCCTTTTAGTTGATAAAAATTGTGTTATGATTTTGTCAACTTTATAGCTGCCTTTTTGTATATTTAATATGAAAATCATAAGCATTAACTTCCAATGTAGTCCATTCATGCTGTCCACGAGAGAGAAATAGGTTGTTTGAGAGATTCTTGCAGTGTTTGTTTCAGGGTATGGCAAGTTATTCCCGGGGATGTGAACTTGGGATATAGCATTCCCATTTTTATATAAGTTTTAATTTTCTCATCTCTAGTATTTTTAATTCCCTGGAGATGACATTGCATGTTTTACTTAGTTTTTATTTCCATGATGAGTGTTTATCATCTCGCACATGGCATGGGAATGGAAGTCATATTATGAACATAACCTCCCTTTGTGCATCTTCCTCGCACCATTTAAATTGAAAAAAGTATGTGAAATATTGAGCATAATAAAACAATTTTTTTGAATTTACCGAGGAATGAGATTCTTCAGAGTAACATTATTATTCCTATGAATATATATATATATATATATATATATATATATATATATATATATATATATATATATAATATAGTGATGTACGTGTGTTGAATATTAAATATAGGGCATGTTTTGATGGACTTACTTGAGGTTATCTACTGGCATGAACACTTGTGAGACCTTTTGGTAGAACTTATGAAAATAACTTATGACATGTTAATAAGCTGTTTTCAAATTATTTCCATAAGTCTTTCAAGATAGTTTATAAAAATTGAAAACTATTTATAGATTATAAGAAAACAATTTGACTTTATTTTATCTTGTGTAATAGAAATGACTTATTCATAAGCTCTTATATGATAAACATTTATGCTATAAGCTGCAGATTATGCTGTTTATCCAAACAGGGCCATATTCTAAAACTCAGACTTATTGATTGGAATTATGCATGTCTTATTATTTATGCGTCTCACTTGTTAAGACATGGCCTGTTGTAACCCTTGCATATTAAGCTGGTACTTGTAGGTTGGAATTCAAGGGCTGCAGTTCTTAAAACCCACTACCCAAAAAGATGTTCCGTCTTCCATGTTAACTGCAAATGAAGTTAAAGAACTGACTGATGCAGATGGGGGAATCGGCCTTGAAGTGGGCTTGATATTACAGGAAGATAATATCGATGATGAAATGGCTAATTGGGAAGTGGAAAACCTAAAGTTCTCTATAAAGCAACCGGTAATGGGAATCTCTTAATTAAAGTGTGTGATCACTGTCTCTTTATAAGATATGATTCTGTATGATCAAGATTTTACATTGCAGTTCGAGGCTGTTGTAACCAAGGATGAGTTCCAGAGCCTCACTTTTTTATGCAAATCTGAAATTGAATCCATGGGCCGTATAACAGCTGGAATTCTGCGATTGCTTAAGCTAGAAGGTTCTGTTGGCCAGTCTGTAATGGATCAGCTAGGCAATCTAGGTATGGCGTAATGTTTTTAATGTATGCAGTACTTTTCATTGGCTAGTCTCACACTGGTTAGACATATAGCCTAAATAAAGTTATAAAACCCGGAAAATCACCACTTTAGAAACTGGTTTTGTAGGATTGAGTTAGGTTTAAAATCTAAGTGTATACACATCATTAAAATGAGGTAGCACAATAGGATAGTAACCCAAAGGATATTAATGTGTTATTTTGTTCCGCTGAAGTTAAAAACTATAGGAAATCGTTAATGCACCATTTCAAAGATTGGTTCAGTGATGCACTCATCTATTCCGTCTGACGTCATTCTTTTAACATTTGTTATCAATGATTTGCAGGTAGTGAAGGCAACAATATTCTATCACCTGAAAAAATCAGCGAAGGCATTGACAATGTTCTCTCGCCTGAAAAACTTAGCATAGACGGCAGTGTTAGCAACAGAGAACCTTCTCCATTACCAAATCGAATAAACGAAAGCCCACACAAATCTGTGGAACCAACAATAACTTTGCTTGAGGAAGCAGTTGTTGATTCACAGGCTAAGATTAACGCTTTGATAACCGACATTGGTACGTCTGAGTCCTCCCTTCAGTACGTTGATGTTGTTAAACAACTTAGTGAAAAAATTGAGTTGATGCAAGGTTTATTGACGCAATTACGGAATCAACTTTGAGACCTTCATGTCTTGTAATTAGAATTAAGTATTTTCATTCTTATAGGTTACAATTCTTCTTGTATATATAGCATAATAGTCCGTATGTTGAGTGATGTATACGTTAGAGGCAGAAATAAAGGCTCCCCATTTTTGTGTAACAGAAATTTTGCACCCTTTAAGCACCGTGGAATGAGAGAAAAGAAAGCAATTTTGAATGCTGAAATCTCTTAAATGAAAATCATGATTACGTTGATCGGGGTTTGTGAGCATTTTCAGGCATTGCACGATTGCAAAACAATACACTTGCATATTTGTTCTTCTAGTTCTACACCTTGTCACTGGGGTCATACTAGACCAACTCTTGAGTTAATTTAAATCGAGCTATGGTTTGCTTAGGAATCTACCTGGTTTCTCCAGGGATATGTCTAGCATCTCTACATTTTGATTAAAACAGAAATACCTCATTTCAAATTTTTAGTTTTATTTCCTTAAAAATTCACTGTTTAAACCTTTCAATAAGTTGAAAACATGCTGAATACAAACTAAATATGTGATAGAATTTGATTGTGGTTAACATTAGTTTGCCATTTTTTCTCTCTAAAATTTCATGCAACTATAAAGAGTGCTACCAACTAAGATTTTAGATGTCGTTAACAATCAGAAATGTTAATTGTGGCTTTATATTAGTGTTTAAAATTGCAAATGTAAAATTGTATAAATAGAGGGGTCACCTGTTTGATAAAAACATTTCAAAAAATATTTTTCCTTCAACTTTTAATTACGGTAGAAGTGTATTTCAACGGAGCTTCACCTCTTGTAGAGTTTCAACTTTCGGATGATACCACATCTCTCGCCGCCTGACGTTCAAGCCGAATGAATTGTTGTCTGATACCAAAAACAGAAAGGTGAAAAATATCGAGTTTCATGAAAATTAGATTGATACTGATATGAGGGAGAAATACAACTTTATTGAGTTGAAGACCGATGAAGATGTGAAGAGTGGATATCAATTCGCCGTAAGATGACAAAATGACTGATTGAGTTGGATGCTAAGATTTCAAGGTCCGTTGACGACATAATTAAGATGATGAATAATCATCTGATAGTGTCTAGGTTTTCTATTTCTTTTTTTTAAGTTATGTAATCCATTTTCAAATGTTAGTTTATGTTGATGTTGCATCAATGAGAGATAAAAAAAATATTATCTAATAAAAAGTTATGACAAAGATGTTTGAGTAATATACAAATAATACAAATAATACATAATATAACAAAGATGTCTAAATAGGCTCCCACGGGCTATGTATGCAGCCCGGGATAATCTAGTATAAACCTCGCCATTTAGGTTTACCAAACCCATGAGATTTCCATAATAGCTACAATCATCTGGAGGCGCTGCTGGTCATCGACAGCTAGAGGAGGCGACAACGACGACACATCATCAACAGGTACCCCAACATCAGCTATAGGGGATGATGTGAGGGTGTGATACAATGAGGTACCCCTCTAAGTAACCATCCTCACACTGTGAGGGGTACTGAATCGTAACTGCTCGATCTTTAATGGTATGACCAGAGTTGATGAAGTTACTTTGAAACCACCAATAACCTCAGATGGTATATGTGGAACTAGTCGTGGAATACTCTGAACATAACCGTATTGTCGCAGACACCTCTCAGGCAAGTGTCTAGCAACCATGACCTCCCGCCGCATATAACTTGAATATAATGAAGGCTCCTCGAACTTACAATGGACTCCATGACCAGTGTATGGTGTCCAGATGACATCATCTACAGTCAGTGCATCAAGTCTCCTCTTGTACTCAGCAACACCACTCGGATGTGACTGCCCACCCTTCCATCTCCTCGCCCGTGGTGACCCCACTAGGGAATGTTGCACCCTACTGTCACAGACACAACAAATAACAAAATAAGAATGTTATTCGTAACAATTAAATAAGAAATCAACAACAAATAATAATTTCAAGTATACCTGTAACAGACTCAAATAACCAACAAGCTGTTTGGTCTAAAATACTGTCGCCACTCTAAGTGCTATATACATAATGGTCAACGCAACACACCCCTAAGCCCAACTGGTAACCTCGAGGCTACTGAATAGGCACACGTCGGACGTCGATATACACGTCAGACTTGTCCGCAAAGAGAGTACATACTACTAGATGTAGCATGTACACCCTAGCGACAATCTCATAACTCCCAGCTGCTACAAGCTCGTCGTCCGTCTTCCAAAGCCAAGACATACAAAAGTGAGCGCTCCTGTTGATACCAGACTCCTTCTGCACGACCACCTTAAAAACTTCCAAATCTCGTGCAGGGTCATGCTAAGAATAGGAGCCATCCAGAATCTGCCGTTGATGGGAAGATGGAACAATAAGGAGACATCATCTAGAGTGATAGTCATCTCCCCAAATAGAAGATGAAATAAAGATGTCTCCCTGTGCCATTTCTAAACAAACACAATATGTAGTTTAGCGTCGAGCATGGTGAGGGAGCAGTGGGCAAAATAAAGGAGCTCAAACTCTCGTACAATTCGACTGACCTGCTCAGACATCAAAATCGTTAGGAAGTCCTTTAGCTTCGACCCATGTGATGTCACCTTCAGTGTGGGACGCTCCTATGACAAACAAATCTAAAAAATAAAAGTTAGCTTTCATGACACAATAATAAACAAATTAAAGTTAAACATAAAAGACATATACCTCTCTTTTTCTCTCAGTCGTAGTCGTAACGCCACATGGTCATCATACTCAGTAAGCACCGACCAGTCAATGGATCCTCTAGAGAATCCTCCATCAGTGTGCATAGAGGACTCAGTGAAGGAGTTGTAACCTCTGTGTCAACAGTAACAGATGAGATGAGATCAAAAACAACATCCTCTTAATGGACCACCCAAGCAACAACCTCATCAACAACCACCTCCTCCGCAACCTCTTTATTAAGCTCCTCAACCATCAGATCAACAACCTCCTTAGCAACCACCAAATCAGCAACTACCATTGCATTTGGTTGTACCACCTCATATGCCACCCCATATTCGGGCCGCTTTCTTGATCGTATCGGTTAATATCGAGTGCTACGAGGTGCGCGAAACTGACCCTACTCAGCCAACCGCTTCCAATATGAACCGGTTGGGACCACTTGTCAAATCCGTATCTGGGAAGACTCAGCCTCAGCAGTCATAGTCTGGTCTTCGACTTTAATAGTAGCCCTGTCTACAATAGTGTCGTCTCTGCCTCTGTATTTCACTGCAAAAGAAGGAAAAAAAATATTAGCAACTACCGGAAACTTTAGAATTTCCAATAAAAAACAAAGTTTTTATAACTACCGGAAATTCTGAAATTTCTAGTAAAAGAGTTTTTATTCAATACTAAAAAATTTCAGATTTTCCAATAAAATATAGGTTTTTATAACTACTAGAATTTTTGAAATTTTCGAGAATTCCCATGAGATTTTATACCATAAATTTTGAAATTTCCGATAAAAATGTTAGAATTAATAATGGAAAATTTGAAATTTCTCGTACAAAATACCGAAAATTGTTCAATTTACGGTAAAAAAAACATACTGTTTTAAAATTTCCAGTAGGGTTCTCCTAATTTCCAGTATCGCCCCAGACTTTTGAAATTTGCACGTGTATGCTGTAAATTTGGAAAATGAGTGAAATGATTTTGCAAGGGTAGTGTCGATTTTTCATACGGATTGGGGGGGGGGTGCCAGGTTCAAGTGGGGGGGGGGGGGGGGGGGATGTCAAGTTAAATGCTCTTTAGGTTTGTGTCTATTTTGCATTCGGAGATGCATCTCCATAAACCTCACAGAGTTGTATTTTTGTAGCAACTTAAGCAGAAGCAGAAAAGTAGAAAAACCAACAAGTTGTAGGTTGACAAAATAAAATTACCATTGATAACGTAAAATAAGCATTACACATGTGATGTTAACATAAATCAAACATGACATTTCAATATTTAGGTGGAAGTTTTAACATCTTCATAATATCTTTGACTGATCTCGAAATCGTCATACCCACCTCGATCGAAACTTTTGTTTCTAAATAGAAAAGTATTCCACATAGTCCTTACATCAACACCCGCCTTCAACTCAAAGTTGTTGAACTCAATCTTCTCTTCATTGTCAATTGACGATGAACGATACTTAAGCTTCACAATTTTTCGATTGTCTTCGTAAGGCAGGAGATCTTGTAATATGTATTTCAGATCTGCTAGAGGGGTGTACTCATTGAACCTAAAATTCAATTGAGGGCTTCACGCCATTGAAGTAGACATATGCGACACACCAATTGATATTTATTTTGGGATAATGTGTATTGGTATAAAACATGACACAAGAGACCATACTTATAGTAGTTATATACAAACATGAACCATTAAAATTCTATCTTGTATTAGAGGATGTTCCAAAAATGCATCTCTGATACCACCCTCTTATCTTAATCCAGAGATGTATTTCGGAACCTCTCAGAACAAAATAAAATTTTGTTCTAGACAAAAACAAAACATGTAACAAATATATATATTTGAAAAGAGAAGGGTTGTGCTTACTCCAGAAGTAAGTTATTAAAACTTATTCCACATCTTAACCATTAATTCATTTTTAATCCATGGTTAAAAATAATAAGTTATTTATTGTCATGTGGCCAATTTGTTTTTCTCTCTCCAGATTTAATTATTGATTATTATTACCCATGGGTTAAAAATAAATGAATGGTCAAGATGTGGAGTAATTTTTAATAACTTACTCCTGGAGTAAGAGTATCTCTTTTCATTTGAAAATGTATATATTAGATATCATTAATATTAATACAAGATTATATACAACACATTATTATATAAAATCTAAAAAGAACCGAAACATTTATCGTCGATTAAATTTATATCTATGGGTGGTACGTCCTTTGACTAATATTTATTTGATTTTCTTTCAATCTCGATCAATTTGGTGAACTCTTGCATACTTTCCACAAAATAGTCCAACCAAGTC